TTTGCACAATCTACCAAGTTATACCAGCGTAGACCCCAAACAGTGAGAGACAATGTCCAAAAAACAACGATGACAGTTTCGCAGTTTGCGCGCAACATCCAACAATAGCGATGATAGTTTCGCATTTCGCGAGCCCACCGAGCGCGGCCGTGTCCGTGCCTAGGCGAGAGCGCGCTTTTCGTCCTGGTGAAAAAGCCATGCGGCCATGCCGATCTACCCCCCTGATACCTGACACGAAAGGAACTCCTTAGTGTTGACATGTGTTGACTCATTCTTTGACTTGAAGGGACTGAACCCTGACTCTCCCGCCTCCGTGCCGCGGCGCTCTGCCAGGTCCAGGGCCGTCTCCGAGTCCGCCGCGCCCAGGGCGTTGGGGTCCACGCCCGCGGTCAGCAGAAAGCGCACGGCACCGGTCTGCCCTTGGCCCGCCGCCATCGTCAGCGGCGTCTCCCCGAATTGCATCCGCGCTTGCAGGTCCGCGGAGGCCTGCGGCGAAGGCGGAGGGGTGTCAAAACCACGCTCCCAAATGGGCCCTCAACTCACAGGAGGAATATAGGATGTTTGTAAGAGGTGCTGTTGGCAAATGGCGGCTCGGGCACCTGAAGCTCCATGGGTTGCACGTGATATCGGATTTACCACGCCTCTCCTAGGCCTTGGGGGCTCCAGGATATATGTTTCAAGGGCCATGTTAGGGAATGTTAGGGGGGTATCAAGGGATGTCAGAAAGGCCGGCGAGACGCCCGATCCCATTCCCCGGCACCCGTAACAGCACCAAACCGGTGCCGAGGGGCTCATTCAAGAGGGGGCTTGGGCTCACGCAGTCGCTTGCGAAGCATGGGCCGAAGCCAGGGGCAAGGAGGCTTCTGAGTCTCGACCGCAACTGAATCACAGCACATAATCTGATCTAGCTGGAGCCTGAATGTTCATGCAATAACCCAATTAAAGCCCATAAGAGTGTGGCTCCACGGTTGGTTTTCCGGGCTTTGGGCTTTGTACAGGGACATGGCGTAGGGAAGGTCAGCGCTTGTGTGCAAGGTCGCATTCAGGGGGGGGGGGGGGGGGGGGGGGGGGGGGGGGCAAAGACCCGGCTGTCGCGGGTCCATAGGAGAGGCACTTTGCCCTTTGTCAACGTGTTGACATCCAAACCTTCCGAGGCTTCATGGGCGCGATCCGATGCGTGTAGGTTTTTGACGCTGGATTTGAAGCTGATGACCAGCTGGGCTGCCCTCCCCACCTGTGACACCCGGGGGAGCTTGTGGTTCCAGCTCCAAGGTTGCTGGCGCACGGCTCCATAAAAACGCTTTCCGGCTCCTTGCGGAGCAGGCTTCCTGCCTTACGGAATCTTATGGAGGGGAGCATCGGCGGCTTCTACGAACAGAGCCGCAAGGACGGACGCAGTAGTCGCTGATTAATGCCTATAATTAAGGCGCTCCTTTCGCGGCTCTCCTTCTGCTTCGAAGGGCCCAAGTCTGTTGCTTCCGGTGGCGGTTTGGAGTTGAAGCTCTCGGGTGTTGTCGGCCTCGCCCGCATGCCCTCAGTAGAGCTTTTCAGGGTGTTAGTGCGTTGTCATGTAAGGTCGTGTCAGTTGCATAGACGGCTGGATGTTTGCAAGCTTTGGGACTCAAGAAGAGCTTGAGGGGCTGAGGTCACGAAGCAGGAGCCCGAAAGAAACCCAAGAAAGTCGTCTTGCGCATGGCGGCTTTCAGGGATTTCTGGAGGCCCCAGAGGGACATGCAGAGTTTCACAGCGCTGGTGCTGCCTGCGGGCTTCAGGGCTGGGGGTCCAACACTTTATATAAACACACCTGAACAGCCTCGGATATCCGAACTGAAGCACAGCCACCTCCGAACCCAAATCCCGCACCAAGAAAGTGCATCCCATGTGGTTGTTTTCCGGGTTTCTGGAAAGCAAGACCTTGCGGCTGATTGTCATGGGGTCCATGCAAGGGGGGGCTTTGTCTCAGGCCGGGGCCCTTTGTCAACTCGTGGATGTCAAGGGCTCACGTCCACGCGAACCATCCGCAGCGCGGCTCTTTGGGCTTCAGCGTCCGGCTTTACAGAGGTGTTAAATGCTTTTAGTGCTTTCAACGGCGGGAGCGATGGCGCTGCGGGCCATGTTAAGGGAGGCACCCCTTGTCTCCTAAACAATAACGTCACAAGCATGCTGCGTACCCTGTGACTTGGGGCGCAACCATGTTTCAAGGGACAGGCCTGCCGAGAGGCTTCGATCTTACCCCGATTCGCCGAGACCCATTACAAGACCAAGCCGGTGTCGAGGGGCTCGTTCGAACAGGAGGTTTGGGCTCAACCAGTCGCTTGCGAAGCACGGGCCGAAGCCAGGGGGCAAGGAGGGCTTCAGAGTCTCGATCACAACTGAATCGCAGTACATATTCGAGTCTCATCAAAACCTGAATGTTCATACGTAACGCAATTAAGCCCATAAGAGTGGCTCCGCAATTGGCTTGCCGGGTTTTGGGCTTTGTACGGGGACATGGCGCAGAGAAGTTCAGGGGTTTAACGGCGCATCGCGACCTCGGGCAGTCAACCGCGGATCTTGAACATCCGAAGAAGATATGGTCGGGGTACACTTCAGGTACTGGGGGCCATCCTTTTCAGACCAAAACCCTTTGAAGAAACCCATCTCCTGCTTACCGAAAAAACACGTCTCCCTCTCTGGGGGGGCCTCCTGCAGCAGTCGGAGGATTCCTTCGCGCCCGTTCGCAGCTGCCAGGTGGGCCGCGGTGCGGCCGTCGTTGGCCGCCACAACGAGATCGGCTCGGGCCTCCCCCCAGGAGAAAGGGCATCGGGGCATTAGGGTCGTTTAGGAAGGTCAGTTTAATTATCCCTGTACTGACAACCATATTAGGGCACTTCAGGGACTTATAAGTAGGGTGCTCGAGAAGAACTATACCACAAGCACATTGATCCTGTGTGGTCGAATTCAGGGATCCTGGGGGTGCAAGACCTGGCGGCTGACTTTCGCGGGGGTCCATAAGGAGGGGCGCTTTATCTGAGCTTGGGCAGCTTTGTCAACATGTGCACATCCAGAGCTTCCGAGCTAGACTTCATGGGCACGATTCGATGCGTGTAGATTGTTGACGCTGGATTTGAAGCTGGTGACTGGCCCAGCCGGGCTGCGCTCCTGAGCTGTGACGCCCGTGGTCTTTTTTGCAAATGGCTCGGGGAGCTTGTGTGTCTGGCACACGGCTCCAGCAAACAAGTTCGCCGCCTGCTCCGCCTTCCGGCTCCAAGGGCGTCGACTTCGCATGGCCCAATGTCTGTTGCTCCCAGTTGCGGTTTGGAGTTGAAGCTCTCGGGCGTTGTCCGCCTCGCCCACATGCCCTCAATAGGGTTTTTTTTGGGTGTTTTTGCGCTTTGTGTAGGGTCGTGCAAGTTGCATAGGCGGCAGGGTGTTTGCAAGCTCTGGGGCTCAAGAGGATTCTTGAGGGGCTGAGGGCACCAAGCAGGAGGCCGAAAGAAAACGCAACAAAGTCGTCTGCCGCATGGCGGGGCTGTTTGGGCCTCCGACTCACTAAGGGGATCGGGGCTCTCCCCCAGCGCCTGCGCATGCCTTTGCGGGCGGTTGTCTTCAGGACATCTGCCCCCGCAGAGCCCGCGATCCTTTTCCGAGGGCCGGCCATTCCTAGGACCAGAATTGTTGATGGAAGGAGCCCACAGCCCGAGGGAAGCCTTTCCCCGGCGTAACCTGGCTTAGCGGCATGGGGGGGGGGACGGGGGGACGGGGGATTGTTCTCTCGGCACTCGAGGGCAGGGGCTTCTCTTTGTTTGAGCGCGCGCCGGTGTTCCTCAGCTGCCGGTTTCATGCAGCGTCGATTTGGCTCGAAAGCTTCAAGGCTCTTGACTGCGTGAGTTGACAGAGCACCGCAATCACCACGACGACCAAGGAGCCCTGGAAGCTCTCCACAATGGGAACACAAAATCCAAACAACTGCCGCCAAGCGATTTCAGGACGCATTCCGGCATTCCGTCGGCTCCCAAGATAAAGTTTCTTTTTGCAAGGCTTTGAGGGAGACAATCTTGCAAGGGGGCTAAGATAGACGGCCTCCTGCAGCAGCCGCAGCGCGGCCTCCTGGCCCTCTTGTGCCGCGAAGTGCGCCGGTGTCCAGCCATGCTCGCCGCGCGCCTCCAGGTTGGCCCGGGCCTGGCACAGGAGCGCTGGTAAGGGTGGGGGTCGGGGGGGGGGGGGGGGGGGGGGGGGGGGGGGGGGAGGGGCCGGGAGGGCGGGTAGAAGCAGTTGAGGCGGCTGAGCAGCCGGCTGCCAGGGTATGTTTTTGAGGGAGAGTCTGCCTCTTTTTCGCAGTCATTGTGAAAACCCCGTCACCCCAGCACAAAGCCCTCAAGGCGAGAGTCGGAACAAGCCTGGGATGGAAAGAAGGAGCTGCAGAAAAGCGTGCAGAGCTTAATAGTGCTGGTGCGGCCGGGCTTCAGGGGCTTGGCTTTGGTTCAGATTGCAGGGGTTGAGGGGTCAAACACTTTTATATAAACACACTTGACCAGCTCCAGCTAGCTATACTTAATCCGTGAACTGAGGCACAGCCAACTTCGAACCCCAACCCCATACCAGGAAAGTTCATCGCTCGCGGTTGTTTTCCGGGTTTCTGGAAAACAAAACCTTGCGGCTGCTTGCCTTGGGGTACATGGGAGGGGGGCTTTGTCTCAAGCTGGGGCCCTTTGTCCACTCGTGTATGTCAAGGGCTCACGTCCGGGGCTCTCCCCCAGCGCCTGCGCATGCCTTTGCGGGCGGTTGTCTTCAGGACATCTGCCCTTGCAGAGCCCCCCATTCTTATCCGAGGGCGCGCCATTCCTAGGACCAGAATTATTGATGGAAAGAGCCTACAGCCCGAGGGAAGCCTTTCCCCGGCGTAACCTGGCTTAGCGGGATGGGGGGGACGGGGGATTGTTCTCTCGGCACTCGAGGGCCGGGGCTCCTCTTCGTTAGAGCGCGCGCCGGTGTTCCTCAGCTGCCGATAGCTGCCGGTTTCATGCAGCGTCGATTTGGCTCGAAAGCTTCAAGGCTCTTGACTGCGTGAGTTGACAGAGCACCGCAATCACCACGACGACCAAGGAGCCCTGGAAGCTCTCCACCATGGAAACACAAATTCGAAACAACTGCCGCCAAGCGATTTCAGGACGCATTCCGGCATTCCGTCGGCTCCCAAGACAAAGTTTCTTTTTGCAAGGCTTTGAGGGAGACAATCTTGCAAGGGGGCTAAGATAGACGGCCTCCTGCAGCAGCCGCAACGCGGCCTCCTGGCCCTCTTGTGCTGCATCGTGCGCCGGTGTCCAGCCATGCTCGTCGCGGGCCTCCAGGTTGGCCCGGGCCTGGCACAGGAGCGCTGGTAAGGGTGGGGGTCGGGGGGGGGGGGGGGGGGGGGGGGCCGGGAGGGTGGGTAGAAGCAGTTGAGGCGGCTGAGCAGCCGGGCTGCCAGGGTATGTTTTTGAGGGAGAGTCTGCCTCTTTTTCGCAGTCATTGTGAAAACCCCGAGGCGAGAGTCGGAACAAGGCTGGGATGGAAAGAGGGAGCTGCAGAAAAGCGTGCAGAGCTTAATAGTGCTGGTGCGGCCGGGCTTCAGGGGCTTGGCTTTGGTTCAGATTGCAGGGGTTGAGGGGTCAAACACTTTTATATAAACACACTTGAACAGCCTCAGCTAGCTATACTTAATCCGTGAACTGAGGCACAGCCAACTTCGAACCCCAACCCCATACCAGGAAAGTTCATCGCTCGCGGTTGTTTTCCGGGTTTCTGGAAAACAAAACCTTGCGGCTGCTTGCCTTGGGGTACATGGGAGGGGGGCCTCGTCTCAAGCTGGGGCCCCTTGTCCACTCGTGTATGTCAAGGGCTCACGTCCACTCTCTATACTCTCTATGCTTGCGAGTACAAGTTTCCTACAGCTGTCATCTCGGGAAACGGCGCCATTGCATGTAAGGTGTGGTCCGCAACTGGGCGGCTCTGCGGAAGCTGAAGTTCCAGGCACGCGGTACGGAGTCCGGCTTTACAGAGCTTTTAGTGCCTTCAACGGCGGGAGCGATGGCGCTGCGGGCCATGTTTATAGGGAGGTATTTCTTGACTGTTAAATAATAACGTCACAAGCATACTGCATACCCTGTGACTTGGGGCGCAATCATGTTTCAAGGGAAAGGCCAGCATAGAGGCTTCGATCTTACATCCGATGGCCGAGTCCCCCCGGCACCCGTAGCAACACCAAGCAGGTGCCGGGGGGCTCATTCAAGAATTCAAGAAGAGGCTTGGGCTCACGCAGTCGCTTCAAAGGAAGCGCGGGCCGAAACCAGGGGCAAGGAGGCTTCAGAGTCTCGATCGCAACTGAATCGCAGTACATATTCGAGTCTCATCAAAACCTGAATGTTCATACCTGACCCAAGCAAAGCCCATGAGAGTGGCCCCACGGAGGGCTTTCTGGGATGTTGGGCTTTCTATGGGGACATTGTGCAGTGAAGTTCAGGGGTTCAACGACGCATCGCGACCCGGGCAGTCAACCGAGGATCTTGAACATCCGATGCAGATATGGTCGGGGTAAAGTACTGGGGGCCATGCTTTTCAGACCAACACCCTTCAAAAAAACCATCTCCTGCTTGCCGAAAAAACCCGTCTCCCTCTCTGCGGGGCCTCCTGCAGCAGTCGGAGGACGCCTTCGTGGCCATTATGGGCTGCCCGGTGGGCCGCCGTGCTGCCGTCGTTGCTCGCCGCCCCGAGATCGGCTCGGGCCTCCAGGAGAAAGGGCATCAGGGCATTAGGGTCGTTTCGGGGAGGTCACTTTTGCCGCTCCTCGACCCTCATGCTTGGAGGTTCACGGCACTTATTCACCAATGATGACTGTACAACCATATTAGGGCACTTAAGGGGCTTATAAGTAGGGCCCTCGAAAAGAACTATACCAGCTACGCAAATACATTCCGGCCACCAGCAAGCAAAAGAATCTCAGCAAGAACGTTGATCTTGTGTGCAGGGTCGCATTCAGGGATCCTGCGGGCGCAAGACCTGGCGGCTGATTTTCGCGGGGGTCCATAGGAGGGGCGCTTTATCCGAGCCTGGGCCCTTTGTCAACATGTGCACATCCAGAGCTTCCGAGCTAGACTTCATGGGCACGATTCGATGCGTGTAGATTGTTGACGCTGGATTTGAAGCTGGTGACTGGCCCAGCCGGGCTGCGCTCCTGAGCTGTGACGCCCGTGGTCTTTTTTGCAAATGGCTCGGGGAGCTTGTGTGTCTGGCACACGGCTCCAGCAAACAAGTTCGCCGCCTGCTCCGCCTTCCGGCTCCAAGGGCGTCGACTTCGCATGGCCCAATGTCTGTTGCTCCCAGTTGCGGTTTGGAGTTGAAGCTCTCGGGCGTTGTCCGCCTCGCCCACATGCCCTCAATAGGGTTTTTTTTGGGTGTTTTTGCGCTTTGTGTAGGGTCGTGCAAGTTGCATAGGCGGCAGGGTGTTTGCAAGCTCTGGGGCTCAAGAGGATTCTTGAGGGGCTGAGGGCACCAAGCAGGAGGCCGAAAGAAAACGCAACAAAGTCGTCTGCCGCATGGCGGGGCTGTTTGGGCCTCCGACTCACTAAGGGGATCGGGGCTCTCCCCCAGCGCCTGCGCATGCCTTTGCGGGCGGTTGTCTTCAGGACATCTGCCCCCGCAGAGCCCGCGATCCTTTTCCGAGGGCCGGCCATTCCTAGGACCAGAATTGTTGATGGAAGGAGCCCACAGCCCGAGGGAAGCCTTTCCCCGGCGTAACCTGGCTTAGCGGCATGGGGGGGGGGGACGGGGGGACGGGGGATTGTTCTCTCGGCACTCGAGGGCAGGGGCTTCTCTTTGTTTGAGCGCGCGCCGGTGTTCCTCAGCTGCCGGTTTCATGCAGCGTCGATTTGGCTCGAAAGCTTCAAGGCTCTTGACTGCGTGAGTTGACAGAGCACCGCAATCACCACGACGACCAAGGAGCCCTGGAAGCTCTCCACAATGGGAACACAAAATCCAAACAACTGCCGCCAAGCGATTTCAGGACGCATTCCGGCATTCCGTCGGCTCCCAAGACAAAGTTTCTTTTTGCAAGGCTTTGAGGGAGACAATCTTGCAAGGGGGCTAAGAAGGACGGCCTCCTGCAGCAGCAGCAGCCGGGCTACCAGGGTATGTTTTGGAGGGAGAGTCTGCCTCTTTTTCGCAGTCATTGTGAAACCTCGTCACCCCAGCACAAAGCCCTCAAGGCAAGAGTCGGAACAAGGCTGGGATGGAAACAGGGAGCTGCAGAAAAGCGTGCAGAGCTTAATAGTGCTGGTGCGGCCGGGCTTCAGGGGCTTGGTTGGTTCAGATTTCAGGGGTTGAGGGGTCAAACACTTTTATATTGTGACGCCCGTGGTCTTTTGCAAATGGCTCGGGGGAGCTTGTGGTTCCAATTCCAGGGATTCTGGCGTACGGCTCCAGCAAAAATGTTCGCCGCCTGCTCCGCCTTCCGGCTCCAAGGGTTGCATAGACGGCAGGATGTTTGCGAGCTCTGGGGCTCAAGAGGAAGCTTGAGGGGCAGAGGGCACAAAGCAGGAGGCCGAAAGAAAACCCAAAAAGTCGTCTTGCGCAAGGTGGAGAGGCGTCCAAGCCAACCGGCCTGTTTGGGACCCCGACTCACCATGGAAACACAAACTCGAAACAACTGCCGCCAAGCGATTTAAGGATGTATTCCGGCATTCCGTCGGCTCCCAAAAGTTTTTTCGCCAGGCTCTGAAGGAGGTAATCTTGCAAGGGGGCTAAGAAGGACCCGGTAAGAGTGTTTCTTTTTTGGCTGCTGGTGCTTTTTTGTTGTGGGGCGGGGGCGCGCTTTTTTTTGCTGCGGGTGCGGGGGCGCTTTTTTTTTTTGCTGCGGGTGCGGGGCGCGTTTTTTTTTTGCTGCGGGAGGGGGGGGGGCGTTGTTTTTTTTGCTGCGGGTGCGGGGGGGCGTTGGGCGTTTTCTTTTTTGTTGCGGGTGCCGTGGGGGCGCGTTTTTTTTTGGCTGCGGGTGCGGAGCGTTTTTGCTGTTTTCTCTCTATTTTACTATGAAAACCTCTGTTTTCTCTATATTTTAATAGGAAAACCTCTTTCTTCTCTATATTTGAATATGAAAACCTCTAATTTCTCTACATTTTCGATGAAAACCTCTAGTTTTTCTACTTTCTCTATACTTTAATACGAAAACCTCTATTTCTCTCTATTTTTGTCTATATCGTCATAGTTTCCTCGATATGTAATGAGGAAGACATGAGAGAGGAATACATGAGAAACTAATTCTCTGTGTTAGCTCAATATGTGACTTGCAATTAAAAGTGTTTTTGTTCCTCTTGTCCTATTTTAATAGGAAGCCCATTATTTTCTCTGTATCTGAAAATGGAAAACCTCCATGTTCTTAAAATTTGAACATGAAAACCTCTCTCTTGTCTCTACACGTTAACAGGAAAGCCTCTTTTTTTGCGCATTTTTTGATATGAAACCTCTCCTTTCTTTTTATGTTAATAGGAAACCTCTATTCTCTATATTTGAATATCAAGACCTCTACATGTTGATATGAAAACACTTTGTATGTTCGCTGTATTCGCGGGAGGGGCGGGGGATAGAAGCAGTTCACGCGGCTGAGCAGGCGCGCTGCGTGGGTATGTTTTGGGGGAAGAGTCTCTCTGAAAACCCCCGAGGCCCCAGAGGGAGATGCAGAGCCTCACAGCGCTGGTGCTGCCCGCGGGCTTCAGGGCAGGGGGTCCAACACTTTTGTCTAAACACACCTGAACAGCCTCAGATATCCATAACCCCTGAACTGAAGCACAGCCACCTCCGAACCCAAATCCCGCACCAAGAAAGTGCATCCCACTGGTTGCTTCTCTCTATGCTTGCAAGTACAAGTTGCCACAGATATCATCTCACAGCGCCATTGAGTAGTCCGCAAATAGCGGCTCAGGAAGCTGAAGTTCCAGATATGTTCAAGGGCTGCTTTGGGCTTCAGCATCCAGCTTTACAGAGGTGTTAAATGCTTTTAGTGCTTTCAACGGCGGGAGCGATGGCGCTGCGGGCCATGTTAAGGGAGCCCCTTGACTCCAAAATAAAAACGTCACAAGCATACTGCATACCCTGTGACTTGGGGCGCCATCATGTTTCAAGATAAAGGCCAGCATAGAGGCTTCGATCTTACATCCGATGGCCGAGTCCCCCGGCACCCGTAGCAACACCAAGCAGGTGTCGAGGGGCTCATTCAAGAATTCAAGAAGAGGCTTGGGCTCACGCAGTCGCTTCAAAGAAAGCGCGGGCCGAAGCCAGGGGCAAGGAGGCTTCGGAGTCTCGATCGCAACTGAATCGCAGTACATGTTCGAGTCTAATCAAGACCGGAATGTTCATACGTAACCCAAGCGAAGCCCATGAGAGTGGCTCCACGGAGGGCTTTCTGCTGGGGGCCATCCTTTTCAGATTAAACCCTTTGAAGAAACCCATCTCCTGCTTGCCAAAACCCGTCTCCATGCGGGGCCTCCTGCAGCAGTCGGAGGACGCCTTCGTGGCCCTCCATGGCTGCTGTGTAGGCCACGGTGCGGCCATCGTTGGCCGCCGCCGCGAGATCGGCTCGGGCCTCCCCCCCAGGAGAAAGGGCATCGGGGCATTAGGGTCGTTTGGGGGAGGTCACTTTTGCCGCTCCTCGACCCTCATGCTTGGAGGTTCATGGCACTTAGTCACCAATTATTTCTGTACTTCTAACTGTACTGACAACCATATTATGGCACTTAAGGGGCTTATAATAAGGCTTATAAGTGGGCTAGAAGCACAGTTCTAACTGGTTAATAAGTACCATGAACCTCCAAGTAGGGCCCTCGAGAAGAACTATACCAGCTAAGCAAACACATTCCGGCCACCAGCAAGCAAACGAATCTCAACAAGAACGCTGATCTTGTGTGCACGGTCGCATTCAGGGATCCTGGGGGAGGGGGAGGGGGCCGGGGGGCGACTAGTCCCTACTACAACCAGAACCTCTAGTTATCAACACACGCACACGAGGCCACGCTGTAAGCTTTGATTTTTATGTTTGGTTCATCCTGGGGCTTGCTGCCAACAACATTTCCACGTTTGTTTCCGGTCTTTCAACTACCTATCTGCAGCCCATATGGTTTCGTCTTGGAAAAGGAGCGTGCGCAGGTCATTCTATCAACAAACGAACAATGCAATACCATGAGGTTTGATTTTTGGTTCTTGTTTAGCTACTGAAGGAACGTTTAGTGGGTTCTTCGACTACAAAGCAATGAAGATCCCGAAGGCTCATGGAAACGCCCCTGCCACTAGTAAACGTGCATTACAAACCAATGAAAACTTTTTTTCGGGTTGGGATCCCTCACTAAGCCCCCGAGAATGACAAGTGAGCTAGGCTTGTATACTGCAAAAACAAGTAAGAAACAGAAAGCCTGTCTTTAAACATGCGCTATGTAAATCTGGGGATTCAGCATCATCATTCTTGTTGGGCAGGTACTGGGTGTCAAGTTGTTTTTCTTGTCTTTGCCACAACGCGGCCCCCCGGGCCCCCACCTGTTTCTTTACACGACTGCAGCTGGTCTGTGCTCTTTTGGTTGTAGTTGGGACCGCTTTTTGGACCAGATGTGATAGGGTCCACTTCTCAGTTGTAGTAGGGCCCATCTGAACCCCATACCAGGAAAGTTCATCGCTCGCGGTTCCTTTTGCGGCTGATTGTCATGGGGTCCATGGGAAGGGGGGCTTTGTCTCAGGCTAGGGCCTTGTGGCAATTCGTGGATGTCAAGGGCTCACATCCACGCCAACTAGCCGCAGCTCGGCTCTCTATGCTTGCAAGTACAAGTTTCCTACAGATGCCTACAGATGTTTACAGATGTCATCTCGGGAAACGGCGCCATTGCATGTAAGGTGTGGTCCGCAAATGGCGGCTCTTCGGAAGGTGAAGTTCCAGGCACGCGGTAGATGTTCAAGGGCTGTTTTAGGATTCCGAGTCCGGCTTTACAGAGCTTTTAGTGGATTCAACGGCGGGAGCGATGGCGCTGCGGGCCATGTTAAGGGAGGTACCCCTTGACTCCTAAATAATGATGCCACAAGCATACTGCATACCCTGTGACTTGGGGCGCCATCATGTTTCAAGATAAAGGCCAGCATAGAGGCTTCGATCTTACATCCGATGGCCGAGTCCCCCGGCACCCGTAGCAACACCAAGCAGGTGTCGAGGGGCTCATTCAAGAATTCAAGAAGAGGCTTGGGCTCACGCAGTCGCTTCAAAGAAAGCGCGGGCCGAAGCCAGGGGCAAGGAGGCTTCGGAGTCTCGATCGCAACGGAATCGCAGTACAT